TTGATGTCCTGTGGACATTATTGTGAACGCCTTAGAAGGGCCTCAGAACGTATATATATCTGAGCTATCTGGGTACCAACTAGGGAAGCTTACTGTATGTTGTCAGATATGTGGGATACACTTTAAGAGGTGATCAGAAATAGAGAGTTCCCATAATATAGGTCATAAAAGGGTTTGTTTGCAGAATACAGGGCGTTGAAGTTGGAAATAAAGTTTCATTCAATTGCGAGAAAACTACCAACAAAAATTTGTGATATTTTGGTTTGAGAGCGATCGAATCGATATCATTATTTAGTCTACCAGTCATCCAGTGGCGACGTTATCCAAATACAAACACTTCATTTATCTCACTTGAGTGCGGCAGATAAGCTAGAATATTCCAATGTATTGTGCATTTTTTGATAAAGGTATCAAACTTGACACAGAGGTAGACCGATGCAATATAAACAAATTTGGATATGGAGCCATCGGCCAACTGTGCCCTGGCGGCAATGGGTAGCCATTTTTCAAAATGGTTGCCAGTGGACACTCGAAAGACGTCAGAAGATAGATAAAGTTTTCTGCTGAAGGTTTGTGGATATTTATTGAATATTTTGAATGGAATCATGCCTTTTTATACCGGGTGGATTTTTTGTGCACCCATTAGTACACCGCATTCAGAACGCTTGATTAGCTGAAGTCTTTTTTGCATATTTATCTTTCCACAAAACTATAACCAAATAAGCGCTTGGCACAGCGAGCTGAGGGTTCATTCATTTATCCATTTATTATGAAGTAGGGATACAAACAGACAAAATCCAACGAGTATCCCCTTATGAGGTAATCAAATAGTGAACTAATAATAACGTACTGATATAGTAGACATTATAACTGATACAATATATAAACAATATAAAAAATATATGAACAATATATGAACGATACGATTCAAACCTTATCTGTAGACGAAAGTGCGTGTGAATTATTATCTGGTCATCAACGAAAGAAGAAAAATGATTTTTACGTGTTTCTTGAAAATTCAAAAATGAAAGTCTGAAGATTGTGATTTCATTGATTTCAATACAGTAGGTATCGAATAGGTATTGAAAGTTCTGACCATTCTGCAAATGAGAGAGTTTAATCATGAGTTTGTTTTTCTGAAAGGTGCATGTGTTAAAGGTTTTATGGCTTCTTAAATCTCAGCTATTTGTACTTCAGGATATTTTGGACGATAAAAGAAAATGTAGTCTCCTTTGTCTTCTCTAGTAATGGGCTTATATCACAAAAAATGTATTTCATAATTCGATAGAACTCACCACCGCAAACCGTTTCTTGCTGTGAGCTCCCTACGTTTTATAAAAAATTATTGGAATCCCCGATATTTCGGACCTCTGAAAATGAGGCGATGATGTGACGTCAAAACCCTAACACTGAAACAAGACTATTCCAGACAGAGATGAATGATACATGATTTCTGACAGAGTGAATTAGCTCGAGATCACCAGTTGAGAGAATGAATATATCAGTTGCCTCAGTCCCCTTCGGGCGTTTGGTATTTTCTTTTAACTATGGCGAGATGAGGTTTCTACGTCATAAGAGGGTCCGTTTTCAGATGGTACTATTATTTTTTATGTTCAAAAATAAAACATTCCAGTTAATTTCTTGATCGAATTATGTCGTCAATCATTATTTATGCATAAGAGGATCATTATAAACATGGTTCTAGTTAGAAGTTCTACTAAGGTGTACACGCCCATTTTCCGGAAGGAAGAAGGTTCATTTAGGCCGAGTCAAGTTTGATTGTTTAGAAAAAGTAGTATCTTTTATTGTGAAGGCAGGATATTCTCTTTCCTTTTTTCCGCATGAATCATTACGTCACAGTTTGAGGAATACTAAATTTGCAAATTCGAAATTTCGCAGGACTAGCATCTAGCGTCTGGCAGCATGATCATATCGGATGATCGTTTGAAAATGGAGCTCAAATGATGCGATGTTACCAGAATGCGGTCCTCGATTCCAGACAGCACATCAAATAGGCTGAATCCTGATTTCACATTGGAATGTGAAAATAATATTGGTCCAATATGAGATTTTATTGAAAATACATTATTGGAATGATAATATTGGTGGAATATTAGTTCAACCTGGGCTAAATGTGGATTTTCAGCTACAATGTTGAACCAATATTGGTTGGAAAGTTCGTTCACAATATGTGGAAAAACATATATTATATAAATATTAAATAATATTGTTCCACTAATTTCGTTTAGAAATTTTTTCTAACATTGGAATTTGAACATTCTTCTTATGACCATTCTGGAGCGGTTATGCAATATTGTATATTCGAGTTTGACAGCACATTGGTTGAATATTGTTTCAACAATATTGGAAACATTATATTTATCTATATCGATTGATATCATTTGAGCAATACATGGTGTCCCATAAGTCATGGATCAGAAGAGGTGGGGTGGTAGGGGGGGCCATTTCCAATCAAACTAACCGTATATGTGGTTTTCCAATTGTTGATGGTTTTCAAAAGTTATTAATTCCCTTCATTTCTATAAAAATAATTAAGTACAATCAAACTATGTCACATTTGTGATTTTTTCTTTCACAAATTCAATCCACGTGAATGCACCTTTCCCCAGAAATAATTCTATGACATGTATTACTTCTTATTAATTACCTGAGAAAAATGTTGTTTTTCTTGAGTTTTGTTAATGGATGAAATATTTAGGTCGATTTTTAAATGGCGCTGGCAGATTCGAAATCTACCCCAGAAAGATAACCTGAAACTAATATTGTAGCGATATCGTCCAATCTACATATTTTGTTTTCCGCCACTATTACGTTCACATTATTTGGCCAATATTATCGTAATATTGCACCGATATTAGCCCAATATATGTGTGCTATTTGGGATACGGAATTGCAGACGGAGAATACTCTGAGAACTGATGAAGTTGCATTATTTGAATAACTCCCCTTTCTGAACAGATTCTCGGTCTAAACTTCTGTGATGCGATATGGAAAATATACGAGAGATCATAATACATTTTAATGTTTTTTTTTATGTTCTGGTTCCCACGAAAAGGTATATCCTGTTCAGAGAACATCGTGAGAACCAAGGAAAATAAGGTAGGAATTGGTGTTTTTCTTGAATTTCTGGAGGTTATATGCCTCCGGGAACACCTTCCTTGGCAATGTGTTCCAGAGCCCCGCTGTTCGTTGGATAAACGAGTCTTTGAGAAAAGATGTTCTGCAGGTCTCCAAAGTGACCACGAAATGGTGCGAAGCCTCAACGGGTTAATCTCGCGGGGACTGCCAGTGGAGGAACAATTCTTGATATTTCAGAAGAGCAGCGTCCATGAAAATATCTATAAAATAGGGCCAGATCGCCAACTTGTCTACGGTGTTCCTGAGAAGTGAGTGAGTTCGTGGGCGAGGCATCACCCACGAGACAAATTGCCCTTTTTTGGACAGAATCCAACAGTTTCAGGGTTTGTTTGGTTGCTGCACTCCAAATATAAGACCAGTATTCCAGGACAGGTCGAATCTGTGCCTTATAGATCATAAGCAGCTGACTGGAAGTGGAATAGCTCCTGACCCGAAACAAAAAACAAGTTTTTGAGATGCACTTGTAGCAATTGATCTCACGTGATTTTCCCCAGAAAGGTTATTGCTGATAGTAATACCAAGCATCGGAATGAATGTCTTCAAAGGTATAGTTACTCCTGACATGCTCATGTTGGGCACAGTGAGATCGGCTTTTCTAGAGAAGAGGCATGCTTGTGTTTTGTTCGCCTTGAAATCTACCAAGTTATTGGATCCCCATTCTAGAATTGTTGCCAAGTCCATATTTATGTTGTCAAGATTTTTCCCTTGTTCGTTTCTGATTTGCCTGGCTGATATTAGAGCCCTGGAAGAGAAGGCGGTATGGAGGGTCCTATCATCCGCGAAGCAGTGTACTGGACATGACGTTGCTTTCAACAAATCGTTGATATGGAGTAGAAATAGTGTTGGTGCTAGAATTGATCCTTGCGGAACACCAGCATTTATGATAAGAGAGTCAAATGAAACTCCGTCGACCACTACATGGCGAGACCTGTTTGAGAGGAAACTAGCTAGCAGAGAACATAGCGGAAGAGGCAAGCCATAAGATGGAAGCTTGGCGAGGAGTCCGTGATGAGGATCGATCAAGAAAATCAAAATGCTTTTACTTCTTAGACCTAACGATATTGTCCTTCATCCGCAAGAAGATTTTCTCTATATCTCTCATTGCAATGGTGCCATAGAGAAAACGTTCAATAAACATTCATAAACCTTCATCAGAAAACTTTATATAACTTCTGATGTCATCGGGCTGTGCACAGGCGGCCATTTCGGAAAATCACTACCACGGCCGCCAAGGAGAAGATAAAAACTAAGTTTTAATCTTCTCCTGACGATGCTAACATAGTTAGCGAAACACGTGTCGAGGCGTTAAAAAATCGGTTTGGTTAGTGGTAAAACAGTGTAGTGCACATTAAATCGATCTACCACTGTGCCAAATTTTGAGCCAAAAGCTCACATCGGACTATCCAAAATATGATTGCTATCAGAATCGTGAAATATTTGAACAGATACACAGGAAATTATAAAAAATACATAGACATTCCACCGAGAGTGAAAAGAGAAATAATACCAAAATTGGTGATTAAATCTTGTTTTACAAGGGTTCCCAACATTCGCAACTCTCAAAGTACAGTACCTAGAAGAAATCGATTTATATAGTAACTAAAATGCCGAACCACTGCTAACGACTGAGTTTACTTAAAATTTCATTGTGGTACTTTCCTGAAAAACATGTTTCCAAAAATTAGAGCATTGTATTTAAACAATTTCAATCAAATCGATTACTGAAGATAAAAGTCAAGATTCGATGTGGTGTTATCAGAAAAATATTTCTATAATTTTTGATTTGAGGTACTTCATAATACATTATAACTTTATCATTAGTTAGCTGTTGATGTTTATCCATTGTTGATCTACAATAAGTTGGATAACAGCAAAATCACTGCACTCCTGTGGAATATTCACACGCAGTAAGTTGATTAAATCTAGTATAGGTACTTTCTATGTTTATTGTATGAATATATTGGTGTTTTTTACTACCAGTTTTGAATAATGTACAATTTGGTTGACGACTGCGTCTCAAAAAAGATTTCAAGAATTCCGAGAAGTACTCTGTCATCGACAATATACAATTATACATAGAGCTATAAGATTCCATAAATTATACAGTTACATAACCCCCTACTAACTTCTGAAAATATATCAGTTTTCGGTACTATCGTCTACATATTAGTACTTCTTTGAGTGCATATGTGATGTATATGTTGTGAGATATGAAATATTTTCTATTTTTCAAAAATGTATTGTCATCGTTGGTACTTCGGTAGTAAGAATTAGGTGTTGGATCTTGGATTTTGATGGAGGTTATATATTATCGTCTCTCCTCATTACTCGAATGTCATATTCCCTTTTATCTTCTGGAGCGCACGAAAAGGAATCTCAATTATATTTTAAGAACATCGTGCGTTGTTGGAATCTTTCTTGAACTCTTCGATAGTTCTTGGGAATATTTCCTTTGGCATCGAAATTATGAGGACGTACGAGCTTTGGTAAAGAGTCGTTCGAAATATCTCCAGGTTGACGACGGAAGGATGTGCTGACCGATGGGCTTGTCGCGTTTGTCTGACTTGTTATTCTAGTGATGACATGATTTGTGCAGAACATTTTTGCGGGAGTAATTAGTGAGTGTGGCATCATCAGCCAGGTGAACGGTTCGTTTCCTGGATGGCATATGAGAGAGCGTCAGCGTATGTTTGGGAATCTTGCACGGAATAAGAATATGAGCTCTTGTAAAGCAGCTTCATGACATAACTTTCCCATCAAAGAATAATGTTAATGGAAATATCGAGCAAGGATATGGTGAACTTTTTCTGTAATATCAACAAGTAAAAAGAATATCACAATATTTCTTCGTGTTGGGATGCAGTCAAAATTTCAACTTTCTGGCACTTCGTGAAAAAGAGTACGGGTATTCGTTGTCCAAGTAGACAGCAATACTGCTTTTTGAAAATAATGAATGTCTCGCTTCTAAAGTGAATCAATTAACCAATGATGTACATGTTATAATATATTGTTCATACCCTCCTTACCAATCTTACAGACATCAAGTCTTGAAAAAGGAAATCAACATCTCCGAAAGCTCCTTTGTCTACTTTTTGATATTTCACCTCAAAAGTCAACTGGACAGTCAGACTACCCATCTCCTAGAATATATTCAGTAGTAATACTATAAGTTCTTGCAAATATTCGGGTTATACGTCGATAATTTGTTGCATAGGTATTACACAAAGAGTGTCAGCTTAACAGTTGAAATATTCTGTTAAACTGACACGATTTGTTATTGTGCAGGAAGTTTGAGATGGAGTTCGAATTGTATTCGATGCGATTATTTTTTGAGTAGTTCTGAACGTCGAAATTTCACGACGAGCTTTGTATATGAATAGGTGAATGGAAGAATTTCGTGTTGGTGTGCACAGGTGACTCATCATATACTATTTTCGTACTCAAGAGACAAATATATTTGAATTTCATTCTCAACTTCCAACTTCATTTCAATTGAGCTACTTGATCTTCAGAAATTGAAAGAATTCAAATTTTGGTCGCAGCTTCTACTTGATGGTCAAAGGAAGAAAAGTTTACATAATATACAGTGTTTTCACAGCAATATACTATTTCTGATTCGCTATGTGAAGGTTGTATGTATAAAATATTTGATAGCGAGAGCATGATTGATGAGATATATTAGTATTAGGATGTAGATAAGAATGATTCTTGGATCATCACAATTGAGTAGATAGGCCCTTGCTCTTGAAAATATTTTATCAATTTTTTTTTTCTTTGAACATCGACGGCAAAATGTTATCCCACGATCTCAAAATCACAGATTTTTAATGTAGATTGTTTACTCATATTCGAATAACATCATGGAGATATAATGACTGATAAAAATAAGTGGATTTTACAGGGTGTCCCTTAAAAATGTTTACAAAATTTCATCACCTCTATTCCTCAGATCAAAACAATCAGATTAGAGCAGATTTACCTCAGTATAATGTTACCTAGTTTAAGTGATTCACACGAAACCAACGAGACAAGACTTTCATAAAGTCTCGTCTCGCCGATGAAATATGAAGTCTTGTCTCGAGTCTCGTCTCGCAGCCTCCAGTCTCGTCTTGTCTTGCGTCTCGTACGAGAGTCTCGCAGATGTATCGCAATTTCGTCATGCATAATCTTGTTCCAGTCTAGTACGGGATATTCAGCTTTACCATCATTCTAGGTATAATGTAAAAGTAGGAAGACAAAATTACAACAAAAATAACATTATTTATTGAAGAGTAAATACCTAATACTTACATCATACATCTAAACAAGAAAACTGAAGTAGCCGGCATGCTTAAGAGATCTCGTGCCATCAAACTTAGAATGGGAAATTCAGAAACATGAATTTTTCCACCATTGCAATATATCTGTGTTTTCATCACACCGAGGCACAGAATAATATTTTTGAAGCTCCTGCATCCATACTCCCGTCAAAACAAAGTGATTCATTATCTCAGACTATTTAGCTAAGAATGACTTATTTATAGCTTTTCAGGTATATATAGTCATTCAATTTGCGATCTGTCGTTATTGCAGAATTGCCTTTATTTTCCGCCGCCATAAGAGATCATAGATTGTGTTTTTGAAGTATTTATCAATAAAATGTTTCGTCTATCTGTGCTGAGTCTGAATTCTTTCTGAATAATATGTTGTATTATGAATGAAATTCTCAAGTCTGCAGTCGGCACGCAGAAATATTTACCTGCGAGACTCTCGCACGAGACACGAGAAGTCTTGCACGAGACTCGAGACGAGACCAATAAAAGTCTCGTCTCGTCTTGTCCGAGTCTCGTCTCGAGTCTTGTCTCGAACACGAGACGAGACCATGCGAGACTCTCGAAAACGAGACTCTCGCGGGCACCACTACCTAGTTTGGGTGCTCTCTGTAGATACAATTACTCAAATTTGGTACTCTGGCATAGCTTTATCGGACAATTATACCCATATTATGATTATGATGATATCATTCCATGGGCGTAGAGCTTGTTTTTTTCAGTAAATAGACATTTAGGACTTTTACGCCAAAGGAAAGAAAGGGGTTTGAATATGAAATTTGGATTGCGTGACTCGTTTACTACAAAAAAGATACTATGAAATTCGATTACTCACATGGTTTCGACAAACTTCATGTTTTAGCAATTTGAAGCATTGGTTGACATATTAAAACGATCAACAGATATGTCATGAGAATTATTGTTCGAAATGTTCATCATTTTCACGTATACAAGGATTGATACAACGGAAGAAGTGATAACAAACAAACTTTCCTCAGTACAATTTGCTCAGTCTGAGCGCTCGTCGTATGAATCTTTGTATACGTGGAAATGATGAAAATTTTGAACAGTTTCCATGAAATATATCTTTTTTTGCTCTAATTTTCTGAAATATATAAACCCTTTTCTTTCCACCAGCGTAAAAGTTCAAGATGTATAACTACTGCAGAAATCAAAATCTACGCCCATGGAATGATATTCATCATAATCATGAAATGATTCGATTACCAAATGGATTCAAGCCAGTACCAAACTCGAGTAAAATATCATTAGCCCTTTCGAAGATGAAGCAAGAACGATCCGAAAATTCACTGTTCTGTTAGGACTATTGAAGGACCAGTTTATTAATTTCTTAATAATTCTTATAAAGAGATTATCTATCTACGATATTCATCATAATCCCGATATGCGTTTTATTGCCAAATAAATTCATGTCAGTACCAAATTTGAGTAAAATATCATTGTCCCTTTCAAAGATGAAGCAAAAATAATCCGAACATTTCAGAATCTTCAGAACCGTCTAGCGCCCAAACTGTGCAAGTTTGTACTGAGGTCACTTTGTAGTACCTTTTTGTAAAGACCTTCTAGGCATAGTACTTATATCACTTATATAAAAAAACTCATAACTAAAACTGATGATATGGATATATCCACAATCAGTGTAAGTCATCAAATGAGTAAAATGAGGTTCCAAACAAACTTTTGGTTTCTAAACAAATACATGAATAAATTATTTTCTATTGGAACTAAGTAAAAATTACAGAAAAAAACTTGCAGAGAAACAAAAACAGTTGGCTTCAGTTCATTGTCCACTGAATATTTTCATGGAATTAATCTACAAATGCATCACTATGTTATTATCATCAGTAATCTCATTTGCTGTTCAAGCTGAAGTTAGTATTCTTCTGTTTATTGTAGGAAAACTTTTTCGATGATGTATGTATGGCAAGAGATCTAGCTTGTGCTTCTTTTTCCACGGTCTAGATACGTTGAATCTTGAGCAGTATCGCACAAATTGGGAGGTTCTTCATCATTCTGAAGATTTTTTGATATCCATCTCTAAGAATGGTAATTCATTATTCTGAATTTCTTCATATGGAGATTGGAATGTGGTTTATCTTTGCCATATATTAGCTGCTTCATCTTCAACCAGTTGACCTCACTCACGTCAGTATTGGCCTTTCTGTTGAAGATACTATATTCCAGCTCTTTGTGGAAAGAAATTTATTTCTCTTGTTTGAAATGGATTCTGGAGCTTTCAGCAGTGGCTATCGAATTCATCCAATTCCTAGGTCCAAAAATGTACTCTTCTCTGCTTTGGATTCGACCAAACAAAAATCGGCATCATTTTTTCCAGTGCAAGAATCTGAAGACATGATTTCACCATGATTGGCAGCTTGCTCTTCAAGATGCTTCACAAGTCAAGCTGCAATTTCTTGGAACTCCTAGAGCCCTCAGTCTCATTCCAATGGACATGTATTCTTCATTACATGTTCAATTTATACTGAGCGACAGAAGTGCTCAGTTCTGGCAATGCGAAAGCGTTCTTTGAATTCAAAATAATCACACGGAATTCTTCTGCAACAGAACTGCTATTG